ACTGAATGTGTTATAGTTCGATCATGTCAAAGATGTTGAGCCTTTAGATAACTTCTCTGCGCTTCCAAGTCCCTCAGATTTCTGCCTGACACAGCATAGTATGACGTATTTCACAAGGGCGACATCACCAATAAGCAGAGCTTCCAGTAGTACTTTTTAGAAGCTTTTCCTCTGGTCCGCATTGAATAACAAGTCCTTTTGTGCGATAGATAAAGTAGCACGCTTTCACTTTCGGATCAGAAACCGCAGCCTTATTAACTGCGAGCAGGAGGTCCCGGTTGAAATCGCCTGCACTGCAAAAATCATCAATGGTCCTGGGTAGGAGTTAAGAGCGTTGCGTGCTTTCAAAGAGATAGGCCATCTGAGATTCATGTCCCTATCACTTTTACTGTATATATTTAGGTTGAGATGTCTTGGTTAAAGTATCGAGATCTTGGGTTAAGTTCTACCTTTTCGACGGGAACAAATTTTAGTGTCGGATGACCTTCAGCAATGAGCTTGAGACGGGAGCCGTAAGTCTCAGAACACTAGCTGATTTCCAGTAGGAATTAATTAGAGGACTGCAATCTTTCAGCTTCTGTTGCTTATTCTTTTGTGTAGCTCAGAAGTGCAAAGTCAGTCTTTTCAATTGCGAGCTCCAACATTCCGTCGGGACAGCAGCTGCTTTCAAGAAATTCCCTTTTGATGTTGCTTGTCATGCTTGTCATCGAATTCCCTCCGTCATGAATGAGACACGTCGAAAATCACGTATTCGGAGTCGATGAAACTAAGGTCGAATTTCATTTCCTCGAGAAATTCGCCGAGCTGGCCATGATAGCCGTTTCATAGACGTCGTACGTAGAAAAACCCAAGCGCCAATATCGTCAAAATCGCAATGGAAATTCTATTCATTTCCTGAATACGATTACCCTTAGCAGCCAACCGAACAGAAGAGATGCGGAACAGAAGGACAGCTATAGCGTTCAGGATATTTGCTTCAATTTGCACGCCTTCTTTCTTAATTACCAGAGGGATTCTTACGATTTTGATTACAAGACTTTAACGCTAGCATGGCTTCATTGAATGACTCTGATTTTATAAGGTTTTTACTTTGAATTGTAAATTGGTTTGGAGGAAAAAGAGAAAAATGATTGGTGTTGACATCTCTTTGGTACACGCCACGCATTCCAGTTGCACACTAATTTGTAGAAGTTTATTCGAATATTTTTGATTTGATTTGTTTTGTTTTGTAAGTTATTGTTTTATTCTGAAAAATAGCTCATTGAAAACCGAGGCGAGAACACTATGATGCGTCGGTGCTGTGCCGGTCAGCAGACTTGTCCCATAAGGATTCCGAGTTCGGATCCCCGCTGCGCTGCAATTGCAATATCGTTGAAAAAGTGAATTGTTTGCCCTTATTCCAGCTTCCTCGTATGTCTTCTTGGCTGTCGCGAACATTGTCTGGCCTCCATCGCTTTTGCGTACACCAGCTCATGCTTGTAATAAGTTGGTTATAAGTTTAATAGTTAAAGAAGAAACACAAGATAGTGTTCAACCTCCCCCCTGAGATTCGCGAGGCATTCAGCCTCGATTCACTGTAGTAGAACCTATTCAACCAGTGCGTTAAGTCGTACGTAGGCTCGGTAGTTATGGCAAGCTTAGTCTGGGCAAGTTAATCCTGGATTTTTTTCAAGTGCCCAAAATCGTAAAAAACTCTTTCCACATCCCCGAGAAATTTCCAGTTCCTCACTCTCTTTTCGATTCTTTTATGAGGAGAATTTTTCAGAACGAGCTCCAATGAAAGACGGCATTAAAGGCAAAACGCTTGCTATAAGCTGATGTCGTGGGCTACTTTTCAGCCCATTGATTTTAGGAGTGGACCAGTTTATCGCTAACTTAAAGGCCGTTCGGGTAAAGTTATAAAGACTGGCATCAACTGCCACCGCGATAACAGGTAGATAGCTGCTTCTATGGCCGCCTGCAATGGTGCGCTCAGAAAGACAAACGCCGAATTACCAATCTATTGCCCTTCCACGTCCGGCGTGGGTCGTGTCTGAGAACTCGGAGGAACTTTGAAGCGCCGTGTCTCACCAACGCCTTTTGCTGGCGGTGTCCCAGCTAATTCGCATACTTGGACAGGGTCAACCGTTACGTTGGACCGATATTGGAGCGACGTTGGACCGATGTTCACCGCTCTCCGCGCCGGCATTCACTCTCGCCACCCGCGAGCCGTCTGTGTCTCCGTGCGTACGTTCACTCTCGGCATTACTCTCGTCGTCGCGTTGGACTTTGTCCAACGGACGGTTGACCCTGCTTCTTCTACGATTCCACTACCGTTTGAATCAACACTCAATTCAACCCCATCGGTCTTCTTCTATTGTCAATCAAAGTGCTTCAATAAAGGAACACTAGAGATTGCGTTCGAAGAGGCAATGCGTGATTCTGTTTTGGGTTGTTAAGTTTTTTTTTTTTTTGATTTAATAAATTTTAACACTTGAAATGTGGACTAGTTGTATCGTGTTTTCTTATTCGTTCTGCTAGCTTTCCTGGACAATAAATTTCTTGTTTCTATCACTTACCGTTTTCCCCTTTCTATGCTTCATTTCCTATGAGAATTCCAATAAACGCTATTGGTTGGTTCTCCTCGGGCATCATTTCATTGCATAGCGAGCTCGCCATGGCGTTTAAAAAACGGATGGCTTCAAAGGCTGTACTGTTCATTTCAGAATACACCACCGACCGAGTGCAGACGGCGAACGTTCGATGCCAGGATCGTCGTTCAAGCGAACGATTCTGATCACCGGCTCGACGGATGGCATCGGCAAGCAAACGGCCACCGACTTGGCCGCTCATCCGGATAATCGAGATGCCATTATCCACGACGAAGTGAAGAGAAATGGCAGTGATTTCCACAAGCCCATTTAGCTCCACTTTTATGGGGATTTCCCGGCAATCGCTTTCAAATGTTATATAATGTGTGCAACAAATGCGAGTAGATTTGCTCCATCTTCAGTGAGCCTCTCTGGGGAATTCGAGGTCTCCATGCATTTCGTTGCATACGGCTTTATATCGGCGTATTGAAATGTTAGGAAGGGGCACAATTGGGGATTGATCAGTCTCTCTCCTATAATGGGATGAACCTTTTCGCTAGATCCCGAAATTCGCCGTGTGTCCTTAAAACCCCCGTCGCGTGACGGCTCAGGCCCACTGTATTTCTTGTCCCAACCCATTCCATGGGTTGCCACTCAATTCGGCTGTCAACATGATGGAAAAAATTGCATTTCGCCATATCATACGAAGTCATTACGGAATATATGATAGATAGAAAGGTGTTCAACTCCCATATGTTGCCATAAAATTGCCTAAATGTCTTGGAGAAAAAGATCTAGGGAGGGAGGGAGGGTCTCTCAAAAAACTCGGCCGTTTACCCCGCTCACGCGATGTTTTTTTAAGGGTTTTCTCAAAGAATAAGACATTCACAAATACATTGAACTGATTATTTGTTTGTTTATTTATTTTTATGAACTCAAAGGTGTGCACTGTCAACAAAGAACCATCAGCGGAGAAAAAACAACTGAACGATAAAAAAGCTATACTTGCCAAAAACAACACAAAAAACAAAAACACAGCGTTTGTCAAAAAACGGAAAGCGGTTTTGTTGATTATTTTGTGCCCTCTTAGATGAATTGGGGTGGGGGGTGGGGGTTAATTATACTTACTGAAAGTAAAATTTTTCATGATGACCACTTCCTTGACGTCAGCGGCCTGAAGACGTCATTTCCTACGGCAAACGCCCCTTATTACGCTAAAAGTACCTCCGACATGATATGACGTTAGCACATTTTTTTAGGCGACTCGAGACCAAATTGTCAAGGAGACCGGAAACCCAACAAATGTGGACTACATCGCTGCCGATCTGTCCGTCATGAAAGAGGTTTGAAGGTTTTCTATAGCTTTTTCACGGCGCTATCGGCAGGATATGGGGGCGTTGTGGTAGCAGTGCATTCAGAACTGCGTAAGCTTCATTCCTTTCTTGTTAACATTCGTAATTCGCATTATGGCTGGAAGAGAGACTCGGGGGTTGTGAACAGTTTTCTTTCTCCCGAAATTCTTGCTCCTTCTGAGCTTAGTCCTAGGAGGATGCCCCGTATAACGTGATAGCGGCTTTTTTATGGCAACTATGCTCTATTTTGATAGTTTTTGAATGTTTCGAGATTTTGTTGCGATTCTGTCTTATTTGCTTTTTCGGCTCAAGTTCGGATGAAGGTGGGGATCAATTTCTTCCCACGCCTTCATCGTCCGTTCATTGCCGCGATCGCTATGCTGGTTGGCCTCCGAGTGTTGTGGGTGGTTTTCCTTTGCCGCTAGTGCTCCCAAGAGACCAACTCGTGTGAAGAGTCAGTAGATTCCTTTTTTTATTGCCCGCCCGCGGAGGAAAACTCCATGGCGCGCTGACACAAAATATGACGAGATGGATTTGCAGAATAAGAATCAGAGCACAATTACTTCGATTGTTCATTCGTTCAAGTGTGCCCATGTCGCTGTTCATCCTACGGTAAATTTGAAGGAAATAGGGGTTGGGGAGCATCATGTGCTCCATTCATAGAATTGCTCTCAAGAAAGCTGATCTCATAACTTTGGAGCTGGGTTTGCGACATCATAAATTTTTAAGGTCATCCCCTTAAACGGAAGAGGGAGAGCGAGGGGGATCGTACAATCGACAGTTTATCTATGTGATTATTAATCTTGTATGAATGCGGTTATTACTTAACTTTTCTATTACTTCCTCATTCAAGCAGACTAACGAGTGCACTTTGTCGACTTTTCTTCAATTTCGATTTCAGGTTGCCCATTTTGCCGACAAGGTGAAAAGCCAATTTCCGGACCTTTGCCATGTGCTGTTGTGCAATGCTGGCGTATTGAATCCACGACGAGCGGAAACAACAGACGGGCTCGAAATGACGTTTCAGGTGGAGGTTTACTTGGCCTCGTGCTGCGCTTTCAGTTTTCCTTCTGATTAGCGTGATGATGTAGCGGAATCTGAGTACCAATTGGTTTCCTATAGCATAGATTAAGAAAAATTGCTTGCTGTGAACTTTAAGGAATCTTCCACGGAAAAAGCTCCGCCCTCATTACCACAGAAAACGATACCTTAAAGGAATCTTCCACGGAAAGAGTGATCATTTTGTCTTGTGTGTAGGATTAGTATTATCGAAACTAACGCTTATGTTCCGTTCTTTTTGCTATGCTCATGAGGCTAGGGGCCTAAGGGGTATCGTTTTTCTGTGGTAATGGAGGCGGAGCTTTTTCCGCGGAAGATTCCTTTAATGAAGCTTCGGAAACGTCCCTTCTCAAATATGTGAAGGAGAAGGCAGATAACCGGGTTAAGGGATTCATACCCTTGAGAAAATGACAGGGACCTGACGTGGAAGCATTTTTGGAGCTTCGATGAGACCCATTCCTCAAGTGCGGTTTTCAATTTCCCAACTCGTGATCCATCTGAAGTAATCATCACGACTGGGTCTCGGCTGTGACTCGCCATTACTAGCTTCGGCCAGCTGATCGGGCTAGATTTGCCGGCAAGCCTTCAATTTTTGAACGGTGGCTCAGCCACTACTCCGAAGCTTCCACTCCATAACCATCTTCTTAACCGCGAGTCCAAAAAGAAAATGATGAAAAGGATTAGTACCAACACACTTGATTATCGAAAAATGTTTTTTTTTTTCATTGTGATGTTTCTTGAAAAAATTTTGTTATATTGCCTAGCAGAAGGGCGGAGATGGTATTGTGAATGATGGTACGCCTCACTACGCATAGATCTGCGATTATACACAGGATCGTACGTCCTCTAGCCCAACCTAGCCCTCCATCAATCCGGGCTCTGTTAATTGGTCCAGGCTGCAAAAACTTCGACTTATACATCGCTGGCCCTCACAACTCATTGAAGGACGAATGGCATTCAAGCCCCACTAGCATGTCTGTACTGGAAATAAAATGTGTAGCGCATCTCAGGAAAGGGTTATCAAAGTTGGAAGCTCATGCGTTACCCTTTGCTAAGTAACATACTATGCTTTCCTCGAGGGCTATGAAGTAATCCGCCAAATTGAGAAAAGATGAGTTGCTCTGCAAAATTGTGTCTCCTTGGGATACGCCGCGCATACGGTGTCCTTATGAAGTCTCTGAGGGGTTGGCCTGAAAACCTGAACTAGCTCTCGTAACATTCAGTTTAGAAATTCTTTTAATTGTGTCTCCCGTGCCTTTGCAGGCTAAATCTGGTATAAACCAAAAGAATCTGCAATTTGTGGGATTACCTTATGACGGACTCAAGCGAAACCTGCGGCTTAGGACATGCGTTTTACTTTTAAAGGGCTAATCGACTACTAGCAGTATGCATTATACAGTGGGCCATGGAAGCAGAAGATGGGTTCTCCTGAATAGCTAAATTTAGCTTGATTCAGAGGCCTTCTCTAAATAATGGAGTTTTTTTCTAATTAGGGTTTTGATGACGAAAGCAGGCTTTGATAGCTTTAGTCGGCTTAGCCAAAGGCTTGAATGAATTCTCATGAAGGACGCAAGCGCGAACGAGGCGCTAGAAGCCAAAATAGTGGCACTTTGTTGAGATCGTCTTGAGTACCGCTACTGCCCTCTTTTTCCACACTCCCCGCTTTATGAGCAGTAAACAGGCGCCATTTGTCGTCGGTATCTCAACAGTGGAACATTCGTCACGCATTTTTAGGGTAGCACTCTCCAAGAATTGCTTATAGCGATTATCCTTGCTGGAAATGTCACACCGTGCATGCGTGGAGCTGTTGGTTGCTTCATTCTTCAGGGAACAAACAGACCAACAACACCGCTTTCTGATGTTGAGTGGCCCGACTGGCATCACTCTGAGAAACGAACGGAAAACAACGCATGCAGGATATGCGGAGCTCCCCATAGTCGTTGTGTTGTCGAGAACACTGTTATTCTGACGGCAACATGCAAATCCATCGTAGCGTATGTATGTGTGCGAGCATGTTTTCAAAATATGTCTCGCACAATTAAGCGTGTTCCAACCCTTGGGGTATTCGGCTGTGTTGGCAGTTGTATTTGTTCCGGAGCCCCAGTGCGATCTGAAAGCACGGCCGCGGCTTTTATGAGCGATAGGGTGGGGGTGTTGGAACATACACTCTGCGAGAATTATCCGGAATTATGGTAAGCACTGGAGGTGATTATAAGTCTCCCTCTGAAAACGATGTTAGAACCGGAATCGGAGCCCTCGACGTCCGTTAAGTTCGCTGGAGTGCGCCATGCATCCAACTTTTCTAGTATTACGCTGAATCTCGTGCGCAAATTGGGAGTACATCTGCGTCGCCGATATTCTCCCATGCTTTTCTTTTTTCCCAAAAATGCACCTCTAGTTCTGTATCACTCTAAAGTGACACACAGAATCTTCTAACGAGATGGTCTCATGAATACATGAGAACCATGGGCTGACAAGCTTAGAATTTTTATTGTCCTGGGCTTGGGACTTTCCAAGTCTGAAGAAATCATCACCAAGGGACTGAATTCAGCTTACACGTGGAAAATGATAGTTCCCGAAAGTACTTCCGAATGATCGCTGTAGGAAGAA